TTGAGACGGAGTCTCGCTCTGTCGCCCAGGCTGGAGTGCAGTGGCGCGATCTCGGCTCACTGCAAGCTCTGCTTCTCGGGTTCACGCCATTCTCCTGCCTCAGCCTCCTGAGTAGCTGGGACTACAGGCACCCGGCACCGTGCCCGGCAAATTTTTTGTATTTTTAGTAGAGACGGGGTTTCACTGTGGTCTCGATCTCCTGACCTTGTGATCCGCCCGCCTCGGCCTCCCAAAGTGCTGGGATTACAGGCGTGAGCCACCGCGCCCGGCCTAATTTTTGATTCTTTAGAGACGGAGTTTCACCGCATTGCCCAGGCTGGTCTCAAACTTTGGAGCTCAAAGTGATCCGCCTGCCTCGGCTTCCCAAAGTGCAGGGATTACAGGCGTGAGCCGCTGCGCCCGGCCTGTTTCTCCATTAATTTAAATCTTTTTTTCCATAGCTTTTGTTAAATCCCATGTCCTCTGTCAAGCCTTTCTTGAGCATCCATCCTCAGGGGTCCCTACTTGCTGCCTGTAGACTGTTCATTTGGGTGGCTTTGCTGGGGTTGCCTGTGAAGCCATACAGAGGCATGAGCCTCCTGATGCCAGCCTAGCACATGCCATGATTTTGGTTAGCAACGTTAGCAACTTACCTATTGCTGTTCACAAACCACCATGCCAAGCACAGGGCCCTGCATGTAGTGGGAATTTGATTGTCCTTACATCGGCACACATGATCATCGTGATTAGGATGGGTTATTGAGTCAGAGGGAAAAGTGAGTATTAGACATGACAGGGGTTTTGCTCAACTGGGGTTATTTAAGAGATTGTGATTCAGCTAACGGGAGTAGGAGAACTAGAGAGAAAGCTGGCTTTTAGGAAGACTGGTCAGCTTTCATTAGAGATTGTGGTGAGTTGGGCAGGGGAGCAAGTTTTAGAAGGAGATGGGTCGGTTGCCTATTGAGATTTTCTTTTTTTTGTTAGTCTAGTGGGAAATCCTGGTAAGTAGTTGGAAATGTAGGGAAAATATCTATGGATAACATGTATTTTGTAATGTGAATATTTTCTTTTCTTTTTTGCCTAGTGTCCCGAGCAAGAGAAGCAGTCCTAGATGCCCACTTTCTTGTTTTGGCTTCCGATTTGGGCAAAGAGAAAGCAAAGCAGCTGCGCTCAGACCTGAGTTCCTTTGACATGTTAAGATATGTTGAAACTCTAGTAAGTTCAAAGCTACAGACTGAATAAGAAATGTTCTGTTATATGTTATATAATTATTTACTTTGCTTATATCCATATGCAGATGATTTCACTTCATTCTTTTTTGGTCTCAGATTCCTCTAGAGAGATCTTACCAAATTAAACAGATGAAAGGAGAGCTATGTGGTGGAATTTTGGATGGGGGCTTGGAGTGAAAATCTCGTAGCGTTCTGTCTTAGGGTGCTGGGGTCCTTTGTCAATAGCCGGTTTTCCTCTGTTCACTGGTGTTCTAGATCCTTCTCAGTGACCGGGGACCTTTTTCTTGGGCTGGACAGAAGCCCACTCTGTGACGGCAGAGCTCAGCGGGAATTGAGTTAGGCCTGGCGAGAGGGCATGTTTTGGTCTGTCTTTGAGAATATTTCAAAACCATATGAATATGATTGGGTTTTGCTTTTTTTTTTTTTTTTTCCTTTGAGACAGAGTCTTACTCTGTCGCCCAGGCTAGAGTGCAGTGGCGCGATCTCGGCTCACGGTAAGCACCGCCTCCCAGGTTCACGCCATTCTCCTGCCTCAGCCTTCCGAGTAGCTGGGAATACAGGCACCCGCCACCACGCCCAGCTAATTTTTTTGTATTTTTAGCAGAGACGGGGTTTCACCATGTTAGCCAGGATGGTCTGGATCTCCTGACCTTGTGATCTGCCCGGCTCGGCCTCCCAAAGTGCTGGGATTACAGGCGTGAGCCATCCAGCCCAGCCAGGTTTTGGTTTTTTTGGTTTTATGTTTTATTCACCTTTCTTTGTCTCTTGACAAGTTTGAATAGTGGTTACCTGCAATTCTGAAACTGTTCCTTGGTGAATTTACCAAAAAAAGAAAAAGCACACAGAGACTGACCTTGTAGCTCACTTTGTTGTCTTTTTAAAAAATTCTATTCTGGCCGGGCGCAGTGGCTCACGCCTGTAATCCCAGCACTTTGGGAGGCTGAGGTGGGTGGATCACCTGAGGTCAGGAGTTTGAGACCAGCCTGGCGAACATGATGAAACCCCGTCTCTACTAAAAATACAAAAATTAGCTGGGTGTGGTGGTGGGCACCTGTAATCCCAGCTACTTGGGAGGCTAAGGCAGGAGAGGCAGAAGTTGCAGTGAGCCGAGATCACACCACTGCACTCTAGCCTGGGCTACAGAGTGAGACTCCGTCTCAAAATCAATTAATCAGTCAGTGTATCAATCTGAGCCAACCTCTGTCCTAGCACAGATAGCTGCACCTCAGTAGGAACATTGTATTTCTAACTGGATGTTTATGTCAAATGGTTATTAAAATAATTTAGTACTATGAGATCTGACCAGATAAAGTACTTTTTTTGTAAAGGCAGGAGGCACGAGATTATTTCCAGTTTGTTTTTCAAACTTTTTCCTTTTTTTTTAAACTTTTTTTTTTATTGTGAAGCATAATACACTTAGGAAAATGCACTCTAATATACATCAATAAAGTAACCATATATTGTGTATTTCTTTAAAAATTACTTTATCAGGTTAAGCTCTGTACTTTACTTTTTTCTTTTTTTATTTTTTGAGACGGAGTCTTGCTCTTGTTGCCCAGGCTGGAGTGCAATGGCATGATCTCGGTTCACCACAACCTCCACCTCCTGGGTTCAAGTGATTCTTCTGCCTCAGCCTCCCAAGTAGCTGGGATTACAGGCGCCTGCCACCTTGCCTGGATAATTTTTGTATTTTTTGTAGAGATGAGGTTTCGCCATGTTGGCCAGGCTGGCCTCGAACTCCTGACCTCGTGATCCACCTGCCTTGGCCTCCCAAAGTGTTGGGATTACAGGTGTGAGCCACCGTGCCTGGCCAAGCTCCATATTTTAAATTCTAAATAAATAAATTTAGAATTTATTCATTCTAAAATAAATTCTAGAAGTCTTAAAGCATTAAATATAAAACCTTAAATTAATGGTTGTCAAGTCTCTGGGCGGAGAAGACTTTCCTATGTATAACATCAAATATAGACACTGTAAGGGAAGATTGGTGGATCTCTCTGTCAGTTAAACAGACCAAAACTGCCACATCCACCTACAAGGGTGCCGTGGTAGGACGGGCGGCAAGGGAACAGAGAAGAGCAGGCCATAGCGCTCTGACCAGGCTCTTGTAGTCTTTCTTTAAAGTCTGGTTGCCTTTAATAGGGTTAAGCTCCCCAAGGGTCTTGTGATTATTGTTTATATATGATGTTGCCATCATAACTGGATAACTTCTAGGCATTTTACAGTATAATGTAATAAAAATGTACTTTCATAAAAGTAAATTCAATATAACACATTTTCTGTAAGACAGTTTGAGATGAGAGAATTATTTGACTTCCGTCTACTCTTCCCAGGAAGGGAATTTTAAGATGAGCCATTCTCTCAGTAATGCTGGGCCACTGCTCTCTGGATATACTGCAACACAAGCTGAATAGAGATTTGTAGGACGTTTGCAAAAAATTAAAATCTGAACACCAGCTGAACTTGCTGGTGCTGTCGTGAAGCTTTTGATTTGGGATTTAATTTTATATTTGTATGCTGGTGCAGCTTTACTAATACATGAACTATTGGTGATACAGAAATTCCCAGGGGGCTGAGTTCTGGCGTACCTAAATCACTCTGCCTGCCAGTGGGCTAGAGTAGGGTTTCTCAGCACTGACACTATTGATTGTCATTTGGAGCTGGGCATGTCTTTGTTTTGGGGGCCGGTACTGTGCATTGTATGATATTCAGCAGCCTCCGTGGCCTCTACCCAGTAGATGCCAGCAGCATATCAGTTGTGACACCCAAAAATATCTCCAGGTATTGCCAAAAGACCCCTGTGGGCAAGTATACCCAGGTTGAGAACCACTATATATTGTGTATTTCTAAATCATTTCACTTTCTCACCCAAAGGTTTTGAGTACATTGAGGAATATTTTCTGCCAAAAAGAAGGTAGCTTTGAGAAGAGGACTTTAACTGTAAAGTTATCTTTACAATAAGAAATTTAGCCAGCATGTTAAGACACTGAAAGCAGGCTTTGCGTCTGGCCTCTTAAAGGTTGAGTGATGCAGATTATTGGATGTGGACAATGATTGCGTGTGGCTTAACTGGGTTTTTTGTTTTCCTTCATTTTTGTAGCTCACACATATGGGTGTAAATCCGCTAGAAGCTGAAGAACTTATCCGTGATGAAGATAGTCCTGATTTTGAATTCATCGTCTATGACTCCTGGAAAATATCAGGCAAAACAGCAGAAAACACCTTTAATAAAACCCATACATTCCACTTTCTGTAAGATTATTTTAAAAATCCAACAGACCAGCTATTTGTGAACTTTAAATTGTTTTTTGTTGTAGGGACAAAGATTATTTGGTATTGTAGAGGTGACAGTCATGATGCCGTTGTTTGGAGACTTGAAACTTTGATATAAAGTTTATAAACACTACTCCGGGTGTGGTGGCTCACGCCTTTAATCCCAGCACTTTGGGAGGTGGATACAGGTAGATCATCTGAGCTCAGGAATTCAAGATCAGCCTGGGCAACATGGCGAGAACCCATCTCTACCAAAAATACAAAAAATTAGCCCGCTGTGGTGGCCCATGCCTGTGGTCCTGGCTACTTGGGAGGCCAAGGTGGGAGGATCACTTGAGCCTGGGAGGCAGAGATTGCAGTGAGCTGAGATGGTGCCACTGCACTCTGGCCTGGGTGACAGAGTGAGACCCTGTCTCAAAAAAAAGAAAAGTCCATAAACTCTAGATGTGGGTGGAACCTTAAAGGATCTCTCATTCTGCTTTAGCAGAAAAGGCCAGAACCTCTTTACCAGTGCTCTCTCCTGGCTCCTTTGCTTCTAGCTCATGAGGCTCTGGGTTTATCATCTTTAAATTCCTTACCATATAGGAGGATGATACCTCCTACTGAGGGTATCTTACGAGTCTCCTAATGTCTAAAATGACATTTATTATAATACCCTTTTGGATGACCACTGACTTGTATTTGAAGATTACTTGTCACTGCCACATAAACTGCCCCGTTCATTTTTTAGATAGAACTCTGATTTTAAAAAAAGATTTCTTCATATTCGAATGAAGTTGGCTTCTGTCTTAACTTCCTGGCATGGTCCTATGGAGAAACTAAGAACAGCTCTTACTGGCTCTTCTCTAGAGGACCTTCAAGTATATTGGTTTTGTTGCCCAGTAGATACTTTCTCTAGGGGTAGCTATCTGAGTTGTTCAGTCCTCCTTTAAGTGGTATAGCTCCTGGGCATTTGTCTTTTCTAATTTGTCTTTTTAAAAACCTTTGAGATTGGTAATGGCTCGGGTAGAAGGCCTTGGAGATGCCAATGTAGTAGTGTGGTGTGGGATCTGGCATCTATTTTTAGTAAGATTTCAGGTAACTCAGGTGCCCAGAGCCATTTGTGTATGTTCTATTTAATAGGATACTGACGAAACTTCTTTATCTTACGATAAAGTCTAAATCTTTGTTTTTTGCTATTGTACTAAACTCATAAATCCTAGGTTATAAAGATAAAGCCTTAAACTTTATCTCATCATCCAGCCCAATTTCCAGCCACAATGAAGTACTTAAAACTGTGTCTTTGTACTTGCTGTTCTCTTGGCCTCCAATTCCTTTTCATCTTTCCCATTCGGTAAAGTTTGTTGATCCAGCAGGCCCCATCTTGGAAGCCTCCAGCAACTTCTCCAGACAGAGGTGTTAGAAGTGTAGGATCAGATTTCCCAACCACGTCACTCCCATGTCTGGGTAGATATCTCTGCCCAGGTGTTCTCACAGCACTTGAGCAGTACTCTCTAAGCACCCAGGATCTACCATGTTACTTTTTTTAAATTTGATTAATTTATTTTTTGATACTGCTCCTTGTGGAGCAGGAGTGTGCCCAGAGTAACCCACCATGTGATGCTGAAATGGATCTGTGTGTATAACGTAGCTGTCCATCTACGTCGTGTACTTCCGTCTCCTCAAGTGTAGGGACCACATGAGCCTTATTCTTGGGACTTTGATCTCTACATGATGCAGACTTACATCTATTACTGTAGCCCAAGTCTGCATGAGGGCAGAATCCAGAAGGAAAAGGAATCCCATGGCTGTGACTTGCCCTGTTACTCTAAGACAGATGTGTTCGTAGTCCTGGGCTGGGAGCCTCTGCCTTGGCCTCCCCAGATCAAAGGCTTCTGACCCCACTGGAGCTTCCCCACATGCCTACTCATCCTTCCCCTGCTCTTTTAGAAGTTGGCTTTGCAAAACAGATAATAGGTTGGGTGGTGGGAAGAGGTCACAGGCACATTCACTGGCCTACTGTACAGGGCAGTGTGAAGGTGTCTGAGGAGGTGTCAGTGGTTGAGTAAAGCTCCTAGGAGTTATTTTAGAAATACAAAGAAGGCAGAAAGGCTGTCACAAACTTTACTAAGAGTCTTAGTCTGATGTCAGCTTGTGTATCACTAATGTCTGGTCTGAATTTGACTATATCATGCAAACTACTTTTAGTAAAATTAGTTTGTTTAACAAACAACAGGCAAAAAAATACATGAAAGCATATTTTTCATCAGGTTGGGTTCCATATACGGAGAGTGCCCTGTGCCAAAGCCACGAGTCGACCGTCCAAGAAAAGTTCCTATGATACAAGAGGAGAGGGCAATGCCTGCCCAGGTTTGTTTTAAAATGTTGCTTTTTAAAAAACACCTAAAAGTTAAAATAGCATTAAAATAATGTGCATGCAATTTGGCCATTTTTTCTAAGCTTGCAGGTCTGGAGCCAGGTTTTGTCACTTAAATAATCGTTTTATTTAAGCCTTTAAGCATTTTATCGGACTGGCTGCTTGTCTTTAACTCATTTCTCTGGTTTTGATCGGCTCTCCTAAGCCAGGGTCAGCCTCACCACTGTCAACACTTAGGGCTGGATAATAATTTTTGGTTTGGGGAACTGTCCTGTGCATTGTAGGATGTTTAGCAGCATCCCTGGCCTCTACCTGCTATATGCTCATAGCCCACCTCAACCTCCGAGCTGTGACAACCAAAAATATCTACATATGACAACAAATGTCCCTTGGGGGTGTGGGGGGGAAGTCACACCCACTGGAGAACCACTGTTTCTAAACTGCCCTTTTGTATTTTGCTATTTTATGTTCAACCTGAAAATGGTTAATTTGGTAATGTTACTCTTCTATTAAGAAACTGATAGAAAAATGTTACTGAGGCCAGGCACAGTGGCTCACTCCTGTAATCCCAGCACTTTGGAAGGCTGAGGCGGGCAGATCACAGGGTCAAGAGTTCGAGACCATCCTAGCCAATATAGTGAAACCCCATCTCTACTAAAAATACAGAAATTAGCCAGGCGTGGTGGTGGGCGCCTGTAGTCCCAGCTACTTGGGAGGCTGAGGCAGGAGAATCACTTGAACCCAGGAGGCAGAAGTTGCAGTGAGCCGAGATCGCGCCACTGCACTCCAGCCTGGGCAACAGAGCGAGAGTCTGTCTGAAAACAAAAAACAAAACAAAACAAAAAAAAGGTTGGCCGGGTGCGGTGGCTCACCCCTGTAATCCCAACACTGGGAGGCCAAGGCAAGTGGATCACCTGAGGTCAGGAGTTCAAGACCAGCCTGGCCAACATGGTGAAACCCCGTTTCTACTAAAAAATACAAAAGATGAGCCGGATGTGGTGGCGGGTGCCTATAATCCCAGCTACTCGGGAGGCTAAGGCAGGAGAATCACTTGAACCTGGGAGGTGGAGGTTGCAGTGAGCCAAGATGGCACCATTGCACTCCAGCCTGGGCCACAGAGCAACACTCCATCTCAAAAAAAAAAGTTACTGAAACTAGAAAATCTGTATTTTTTTAAACCATATGTATGTTTTTTTTCTTTTTGAGACAGAGTCTTGCTCTGTCACCCAAGCTGGAGTGCAGTGGCACAATCTCATCTCACTGCAACCTCTGCCTCCCGGGTTCCAGCGATTCTCCTGCCTCAGCCTCCCAAGTAGCTGGGATTACAGGCATGCACCACCATGCCTGGTTAATTTTTGTATTTTTTAGTAGAGATGGGGTTTCACCGTATTGGCCAGGCTGGTCTCGAACTCCTGACCTTGTGATCCATCCACCTCAGCCTCCCTCAGTGCTGAGATTACAGGTATGAGCCACTGTGCCCTGCCTAAACCATAAATTTTAAGATGGGGATATAAACTGCTAGTAATCCCCAACAGACGACATTTAGGCTGGGCACAGTGGCTCGTGCCTGTTATCTAGGTGCTTTGGGAGGCTGAGGCAGGAGGATCACTTGAGGTCATAAGTTTGAGACCACCCTGAGCAACATAGCAAGACCTCATACCTAAAAAAAATTTTTTTAAATTAGCAAGGTGTCCTAGACAAGGTAGCATGAGTTAAAAAAAAAAAAAAAAAAGTAATCAGATGTGGTGGTGCACGCTTCTAGTCCCAGCTACTCAAGAAGCTGAGGTGGTAGGATCCCTTGAGCACAGGAGTCTGAGGTTACAGTGAGCCAAGATCATGCAACTGCACTCTAACCTGGGTGGCAAAGGAAGACCCTGTCTCAAAAAAAAAAAAAGTTTGAGTATGCAAGAGTGAAGAAAAGGTTGTTAATAGGCCAGTAAGTAGGTCTGTCAGCTTGATAATGACTTTTTTCAGTTAAGAAGAATGGAAGAATCTCATCAAGAAGCAACAGAGAAAGAAGTAGAAAGAATCTTGGGATTGTTGCAGACATATTTTCAAGAAGATCGTAAGTGTAACACCATTCAAAGTGGAGCAATTTGTATTTATCTGTTCAGTGAAGTTACTTGTATTTTAAAGGCAGTTTCAGCTGTATGTAATGTTTGAATAAATGCATATTCATTTAATGAGGATTCTTCTCCCCTTTAGAAATTTCATGTGAAAAGTTTGAAGTTAACTTTTTCATTTTTATCTTTAAAAGATTTTTTTGTTACAAAATGAAATATGCATTCAAGTGAGAAATGTCAAAAGTACCCGTTCCACCTCCCCTCATTATAAAATGTAATGTGTATATTTTCAGATTATTTTATCAGTTTTATACACACCTACCTAAATAGTTTGTTTTGGCCGGGCATGGTGGCTCATGCCTGTAATCCCAGCACTTCGGGAGGCTGAGGCAGGCGGATCACCTGAGGTCGGGAGTTCGATACCTGCCTGACCAACATGGAGAAACCCTGTCTCTCTAAAAAATACAAAATTAGCCCGGTGTGGTGGTGTGTGCCTGTAATCCTAGCTACTCGGGAGAGTGAGGCAGGAGAATCGCTTGAACCCGGGAGGTGGAGGTTGCATGAGCTGAGATCGTGCCATTGCACTCTAGCCTGGGCAACAAGAATGAAACTCTGTCTCAAAAAAAGTTTGTTTTTTTTCTTTTTTTCCAAGCTAATCATTATATGCACATTCTTCTGCTATGCGACTTTTCCAGTGGACATTCTTCCATATTATTTCATATAGATCTCCATTATTTTGTTCACCGATTCCCATTATATGGCTGTGCTGTAAATGTATTTAACAGACCCTCCATAATGGTTTTTTTTTTTTTTTTTTTTTTAGAAGAAGTCTCTCGCTCTGTCGTCCGGGCTGGAGTGCAGTGGCGCAATCTCAGCTCACTGCAACCTCTGCCTCCTGGGTTCATACCATTCTCCTGCCTCAGCCTCCCAAGTAGCTGGGACTACAGGGGCCCGCCACCACGCATGGCTAATTTTTTTGTATTTTTAGTAGAGCCTGGGTTTCACCGTGTTAGCTAGGATGGTCTCGATCTCCTGACCTTGTGATCCACCCGCCTTGGCCTCCCATAGTGCTGGGATTACAGGTGTGAGCCACTGTGCCTGGCCAAGTTCCCTTTTTTTTTTTTTTTTTGAGACAGAGTCTCACTCTGTCACCCAGGCTGGAGTGCAGTGGCACCATCTCAGCTCACTGCAACCTCCACTTCCCAGGTTCAAGCAATTCTCCTGCCTCAGCCTCCCGAGTAGCTGGGATTACAGGTGCACGCCACATCTGGCTAATTTTTTTCAGTATTTTTAGTTAGAGACAGGGTTTCGCCATGTTGGCCAAGCTGATCTTGAACTCCTGACCTCAGGTGATCTGCCAGCATCGGCCTCCCAAAGCACTGGGATTACAGGCGTGAGCGCCATGCCCAGCTGGATGAATAAGTTCTTTATAGCATTTTACTCTTGTATAAATCGCTGAAGTAAAAAATCTTAGCATGTAATTTTGTGTTCTTGCACTCATGTTGCTGTAGGACAGCTTCTTAGAGGTGGTTTCCAGGTCAGTGAGCATACATGTTTTTAGTAGAGATGCCAGATTGGCCTCCAGAAGGGTTGGATTGATTTGCACTCCTGCAGCAGGGTGAGTGCACACCCTTTCTTTGTCTCTGGCTAATGCTAGAGTATACTGATATTAACGTAAACAAAAATCAAATCTTTTTTCTCTTTTTGTCTATAGCTGATACCCCAATGTCCTTCTTTGACTTTGTGGTTGATCCTCATTCTTTCCCCCGTACAGTGGAAAACATCTTTCATGTTTCCTTCATTATACGGGTAAGATTAAAGATTAGTTTTCTAATTGCTTTTATATGCTTTTAAAGGGATACATAAGAAAAGCTGTAGAAGGGAGCTGGCAAAGGTATCTGTATACACGAGCCAGTATATGTTTCAGACGCATTGTAGCAAAACGTTAATTGGCATATTAGGTAGAAGAAGCTAGCTAAAATTTTATGTGCTTGCTTTTATGTTTTAGACATTATGTAGAGAAAGAATTGGAAAAATTTGAATATGGAACTGTAGATTAGGTAACAGTATGGTATAAATGTTAAATTTCCTGAATTTGATAGTTGTCATGTTGTATAAGAGAATATCCTTGTTCTCAAGAAATACACACTGAAAGATTAGGGAAAAGAAGCAGGCCGCCTATCATTCTCACTTCATTCATAAATAATAGTATGTAGAGTGATAAAGTAAACGTGGTAACTAACACTTTAATGACTGATGAATATGGATAAAGGATATATGGCATGTGTTTATAGTAGTTTTATAGCCCTTTAAGTCTGAAATTATTTCAAAATCGGTTTTAAAACTCTACTCAGAAATGTACCATGGAAATTTACTTTAGACTGTCTTTAATCTTACTTCAGGTTGCATTCCCACATGTAAGATGAATTTGATTTTAACCTTAGAGAAAAGCTTATGTCGACCAAAGTATTTTCTCAGAAATAATAAAAAAGGCATATTTTGCCAGTGGTTCCAGTGACAGAATTATGCAGAATAAAATGTGGAGTATTCCAAAATATATATAAATCAGTTAAAGAGACAAGATGAGTTTCACTTAAGAGATTCTCAGGATGGAGGCTGTGTCTGGGTGAAAGAGCTGATTAGAAACCCAAAAGATACCCTGTGTAAACAAAAGATATTAGGGAAGTCTTATCTATATCATCACATTATTGCTATGGTATAATTTGATTTTCTGAGATACTGAATTTTCTGAGTAATTTTTTTCATCTAGTGGTTATAGGTTTGAGTCTTAAATGTTTGTCTTCTCCTAAAATCATGTTTTCGTTTTAGGATGGTTTTGCAAGAATAAGACTTGACCAAGACCGACTGCCAATAATAGGTAAATGATACTATGTTTGGAAAAATTAGTTTTAGAGAAAATATATTTGTTAGTAGCATTTAAGTATTTTACTAAATGTAAATGAATTTTCAATGTAGATTAACGTTTACAATATTGTATCTTGCTCAACTACCTGAAGACACTGAAAACATGGCCAGCGTCTAAAATTTGATGGATTCATCTATATCATTGATTCAATATCTGCTGTAAATATTAACAAAGAAATGATATAATTTCCCTCAGATCTTAATTTAGAAATGACTGCAGTCATTTTTGTAGTATCCCTCTTTCTAATCACGTTTTGTCAGATGCCAGCACCTTCTTTTCTCCTTGAGGTTCTATGAATCTTTCATTCTTACCTGAATAATTTCACACTCTCCATTACTCATGTCCTCCTAAGGTCTCCTGTGGAGAGAATATGTCCATCGCACTTACTTGCTACTTTCGATGTTCTCAGTGTCCTATTGGACTCACTAGGGCTTAGCTCTGTGGTTGACACATAGATATGCAGATTTTCAAATGTCTCGAATGTGTTACTCTACTACATGTTTTTTTAAATGGAAACAGATGGGATGACTGACTACTGTAATAATACTGCAGCAGCTCCATAATGCATGAAATCCTAAAAAGTGTGTAATATTATAAGTATCTTTTCAATACAGGTTTCATTGCTATTATACATCAGTTTCCGTTTAGATTACCTGTTCCGATTTAATAACCTTTGATAAATTTGAAAAATTTGTCTTTCAAACAGAGCCTGTTAGTATTAATGAAGAAAATGAGGGATTTGAACATAACACACAAGTTAGGAATCAAGGAATTATAGCTTTGAGTTACCGTGACTGGGAGGTAAAGCTCTGCCTGTTGCCCCTGCATAGTTCTGACTCTGACTTCACTTTCTGTAAACCCAATGCCTAAATGTTCATTATTGTCTGCCAGGAGATTGTGAAGACCTTTGAGATTTCAGAGCCTGTGATTACTCCAAGTCAGAGGCAGCAGAAGCTAAGTGCTTGATGCTAGCTGAAGGTAATGTTTTCAATGGGATGGCTACACAGTTTTATTAAAAGTTTATTTGGCAATCCAAAGTATCCTTTTTCCCCATTCCAGTGAAATTTGGATTTTTGCCTCCCTGTAGTGCCCTATTCTTAGAACTGTGTAACAGGTGAGAAAGGCATAGTGGTTCTACGTTCCCTTCTCTGGATTGATTAAATTTGTGCTGTTAAGATTTGCAGCTGAGGCTGGGCACCGTGGCTCAGGCCTGTAATCCCAGCACTTTGGGAGGCTGAGGCAGGCGGATCACGAGGTCAAGAGTTCGAGACCAGCCTGACCAACATGGTGAAACCCCATCTCTACTAAAAATACAAAAATTAGCTGGGCGTGGTGGTGCATGCCTGTAATCCCAGCTACTTGGGAGGCTGAGGCAGGAGAATCGCTTGAACCTGGGAGGCGGAGGTTGCAGTGGCCGAGATCACGCCACTACACTCCAGTCTAGGAGACAGAGCAAGACTCCATCTCAAAAAAAAAAAAAAAGATTTGCAGCTGAAAGAAACAGTGCAGGATTGTTCTTGGTTTGGTGGGTTTTGTTTTTGTTTTTAATAAAAAATAGGGAAGGGGTCTCACTATGTTGCCCAGGCTGGTCTCAAACTCCTGGGCTCAAGGGATGCTCCCATCTCAGCCTCCCAAACTGCTGAGATTACAGGTATGAGCCACTGTACCCAGCTGCTGCTTTTCCCCCCAACAAACTGGTAAATTAGATAAGTGAAATATTGAATCCTTCCATCCATGTTGTTGTTCACTGTACCATTAGATTTGCTTATTTTATAAGTACAAAGCAGAAAAGGAGGATTAGGATACAATTACCTTAGAATAATGTTGGTAAATTGGCATTTCTAAAGTTTGTATTAGGCTATGAAAGAATTCTTCATTTTTATCAAGGGTAACATTTCTAGAAAGAAATCTTAATAATGATCTGGCATTTTGTAGCGCACACAGTTGTGGGTGGGAAGACCTAGATTCCATTGGCTATGCCCCTTACTTTATTTATTTTTGTCCCTTACTTTAAAACCTTGGGCAAATCACTTAATCTCACTCAACTTCATTTTTTTTTTTTTTTTTTGAGACAGTCTTGCTCTGTCACCCAGGCTAGAGTGCAGTGGCACGATCTCAGCTCACTGCAACCTCTGCCTCCAGGGTTCAAGCAATTCTCCTGCCTCAGCCTCCCGAGTAGCTGGGATATAGGCACCTGCCACCATGCCCGGCTAAATTTTGTATTTTTAGTACAGACGGGGTTTCACCATGTTGGTCAGGCTGGTCTCAAACTCCTGACCTCGTGATCTGCCCGCCTTGGTTTCCCAAAGTGCTGGGATTACAGACGTGAGCCACCATGCCTGGCTTCAACTTCATTTTTTTTTAATCTATAAATACATCTATAAAATGGGAAGATTTTCAAGCTAGATCATTGCTAAGGGTTTTTTTTCCAGCTCAAATTTTGTGATTTTGAGCATTAAAATAAGCTTTTTCGCACTTAATGTAAACACTTAATATGTGCTTCAATTAATTGAAATACTTTTGTTCCAAGTTGTAAAAATATTTTAAATGAAAGAAGGGAATAGACCGGGCGTGGTGGCTCACGCCTGTAATCCCAGTACTTTGGGAGGCCAGGGCGGGCGGATCATGAGGTCAGGAGATTGAGACCATCCTGGCTAACACGGTGAAACCAGGCTTTACTAAAAATACAAAAAAATTAGCCGGGCAAGGTGGCGGGCGCCTGTAGTCCCAGCTACTCAGGAGGCTGAGGCAGGAGAATGGGGTGAACCCGGGAGGCGGAGCTTGCAGTGAGCTGAGATCACGCCACTGCACTCTAGCCTGGGCAACAGAGCAAGACTCCATCTCAAAAAAAAGAAAAAAAGAAGGGAATAAATATAAGATATATAATGTGGATTACCCTGGGCCCTACTCACTGAAGAAGGCTAATTGTTAGATTTTATTTATGTATATTATATGAACTTTTGGTTTATCATTTATAAACTGTTAACCAGCTATTCTTCCCCTTTTTAGGATTCAAATGGATAGCGAAGTCCAAAACGGAAAGTGGCATGTATTGTATATATTGTATGATTCAACATTTTTAAAGGCAGATTGTTTTTAGTAAAATGTAGCTTTTGATAGTTAATAAATTTGTCATGGTTGTCTTTGATTAAAGGAAACTCACCACCATATTCACAAATAATTGTAGTTGCTCTTTATTTCCTAATTATTGGAGAGTGTCTCCTTTGTCTGATCCTCTCCCAGTGAAAGTTTTACTTAGGTTATTAATGCCCTGTGGACCATTATGATTCTTTTTAGTTCTTTTTTGCCATAAAGCTAGCTAGTCAACAAATAGGTTGTATCATATGAAACTGTTGTTTTTATAGGTAAAATACAGTCAAATACAAGCAATTTCCTATGATTCAGCCTCTGATTTACACACAAGAAACTATTAAATCCTCTGGCAAGCCAGGCTGGACTACTTTCCCCAGCAACACCAGCCCTGGTTCCATCTTACCAGCATGCTACTCCATGCTTCTCATCTCGGCTGTGCTTTGAAGTCTAGTCAGTTTCTTCTCCCAGTGCCCACTTTGCTATTTCATGTTTTCTCACTGCTTCCCTCTGGCATCAGGGGTAGAGGCGTCTTTTCTGTGGAAGACTCTGGGCTCCAGCGCTTCCTGCCTCCTAGGGGAGTCTGCTGTCTCAGTCATCCCCTTGACCTGTATTTGGAGTCTTCCCTTCAACTAAGCTCATCTCTCATTTAAAAAACATTACCATGACCCTCTTCAAGCTGCTATCCTATCAGCTTTTTAATGAGAGTCACTTGTCTCCCCTCACGTCAGTCCGTGGCAGTGTGGCACCTCCTTCCCCGCTAATCAAGTCTGTTTTATGCCAGATTTCCTAATTCCTTTCCAAATTGTTAACTCCAGTGGATACATGGGTGTGCATTTGACACTTGGAGATCTATGCCTTGAAGCTGTGTATCCTTGATGTCTGTTGCTTTCCCTGGTTCCCCTTTCATAGTCACTGTCATCATTTATGCTGACATTTACACCATGAACAGTCTGAAAACTTTGATGCCTAAACTTCTTGAAAATGTTACAGATACATGCAATCAATTGCTCACTGGACAGCATGTGGGTTATTTTAGATATGTACAAAACAGCCCTTCAGATCTTCTCCCTATGAGACCTATACTGGCGCTTTTACAACTATTTTCTCAGATGAAAGCTAAGATTGCCCCCACCCTCCAAGCCCTTACCTTAACCAGTCACTAATCCCCATCTGGTCTCTTCTCTCAGTTTGCCCAGGTTACTACCACAAACTCCAATCTGTTATCGCCTGCTTCCTGTCCTTCAGGTCTCTTCTGCTTCTTCAGAACCACTTGTCATATATTACTCGGATTTCCCACTGCCTTGAAGATTGAAAAAAATCTGAACTCTTTAGTGATATTCAAAACCTTGCATGCTCAGGTTCTTTGCCTACATTGCCAGGCGTGCTTCGTCAGGACTCAACTCTAGCATTTATTTTTTTGTTAAACAATTTTATTGAAATATAATTTGCACTGGGCGCGGTGGCTCACGCCTGTAATCTCAGCACCTTGGGAGGCCGAGGCAGGCAGATCACCTGAAGTTGGGAGTTCAAGACCAGTCCGTCTCTAAAAATACAAAATTAGCTGGGCGTGGTGGTGCATGCCTGTAATCCCAGTGACTCGGGAGGCTGAGGCAGGAGAATCGCTTGAACTGGGGAGGCGGGGGTTGTGGTGAACTGAGATTGTGCCATTGCGTTCCAGCCTGGGCAACAAGAGCGAAACTCTGTCTTAAAAAAAACAAAAAGAAAAATTCACATGCCTACAATTTTCATGTAAACTGTATAAATCATTTTTATCTATTCATAGGGCTTAGCAACCATTACCACAATCTAATTTTTGAACATTTTTGTTCCCCTGACCCTGAACCCACTCTACCTCACCTCCTATCCTGACCTCTTACCCCTAAGCAACCACTAACATACTCTCTGTAAATCTGCCTGTTCTAGACATTGCACATAAATGGAATGATTTCCAAGTTCTTGTCTAAAGTTGTGCCCTTCTTTATCTTTCATTTTTCTGGTTTCTACTTGTTTCAAACTTTCCTAATTTGAGAAATTTAAAAGTGGTTACATTTTGTAAACTAAGGCTATGTTGCTTTTCATTTTGTACCTTTCTGTAACTATTGAATTTTCTTTCTTTTTTTTTTTTTTTGGAGACAGTCTCACTCTGTCGCCCAGGCTGGAGTGCAGTGGCCCAGTCTCGGCTCCTTGCAAGCTCTGTCTCCCGTGTTCACGCCATTCTCCTGCCTCAGCCTCCCAAGTGGCTGGGACTACAGGCACCCGCCACCACGCCTGGCTAATTTTTTTGTATTGTTAGTAGAGACAGTGTTAGCCAGGATGGTCTTGATCTCCTGACCTTGTGATCCACCCGCCTCGGCCTCCCAAAGTGCTGGGATTACAGGTGTGAGCCACTGCACCCGGCCAACTATTGAATTTTCTAAACTGTACTTTTTACTTTTTAAAGTTATCAACAGTGGCCAGCGCAGTGGCTCACACCTGTAATCCAGCACTTTGGGAGGTTGAGGTGGGTGGATCACTTGAGGTCAGGGGTTCAAGACCAGCCTGGCCCACATGGTGAAATCCTTTCTCTATTAAAAAATACAAAATTAGCCGGGCATGGTGGCGGGCGCAGTGGTTTATGCCTGTGATCTCAGCACTTTGGGAGGCTGAGGCGGGCAGATAACGAAGTCAGGAGATCAAGACCATCCTGGCTAACATGGTGAAACCCCGTCCCTACTAAAAATACAAAAAGTAGCCTGGCGTGGTGAAAGGTGCCTGTAGTCCCAGCTACTCAGGAGGTTGAGGCAGGAGAATGGCGTGAACCCGGGAGGCGGACCTTGCAGTGAGCTGAGATTGGGCCACTGCACTCCAGCCTGGGTGACAGAGCCAGAATCCGTCTCAAAAAAAATAAATAAAACTCATCACCTTCCCAAAGCCTTTCTTTTCCTCCAGGGTTTTGTTAAAAGCACCGTGTTCTTACATCAGTTGTCCTGTCTGTACTCATCTCATGTATTCACACCTTTTCCATGGATGTCCCCAAGGGCTGGGGAGGAGCCTTATTTCTGTGCTGACGGTGGTAGAAATCAGGATGGAACTGTGGCCATGCCTTCCTCCTGTCTATGCTGCCTAAGCAGTTATCATCCAAGGTCCATTTTCAGTTCCCCATAAATTGCTGCCCAACTCTAGTCCATATTTTCAATGAAACACTTCATACTGCATAACCAGACATGCTATTTTTTTTCTTCAGTGTTTTCTTCCCCACATGAGTTGATGAGTTGTAAACCCCTTGAAGTACAGAGGGGCTACATGCTAAAGTCATTGCTCCCTGACAGAGTTAGGGCTTAGGCTTAGGAATATGGCATCTCGTTAAATTTTAGGTGGATTGGAGAGCATAAGACACTGTTTCTGCATAATTCTAACAGGCTTGTACACCCTCTGCTATATTTACTCCTACAGAGAGGGAGCCATGCCTCTTTGGTCAAGATCAACTCAGAGGCTGTGAAATTGTAGGTTTCTGGATTTCTAGAAAAGTGTTGGGATTAGTAGTGTTAAAAGAATGATGAAAAGCACAGCGAAGGATGAAGGTGTGTGAGATAAGACTTTTCAGAGTTGGAGGCGGAGATTTAAAAATGGCTACCTTTTTTTTTTCTTTCTTTTTTTTTTTTGGTAGACAGAGCCTTGCTCTGTCCCTCAGGATGAAGTGCAGTGGCCAGATCTCAGCTCACTGTAACCTCTGCCTCCTGTGTTCAACCGATTGTCCTGCCTTGGATTCCCGAGTAGCTGGGATTACAGGTGCAAGCCACCACACCCGTCTAATTTTTTTGTATTTTTAGTAGAGATCGGGTTTTACCTTGTTGGCCAGGCTGGTCTTGAACTCCTGACCTTAAGTGATAACGCTTGCCTCAGCCTCTCAAAGTGCTGGGATTATAGGTGTGCCCAGCCCAAAGTTTTTTGATAGGAGTCTGTTTTCCCTCTCCTTGGATTTAAGCTGGTCTTGGTGACTTATGTGACCAGTAGAATACAGAAGCGATGTTCTGGGACTTGGGAGGCTAAGTCATAAGAAGCCTTCTAGCTTCCAACAGGCCTCTTGGAATACACAGTCGTAGAGTCGTGAGTCACTGAATAATAAGTCCAACTACCGCATGGCACTGAGACTACATGGAGAGCTGCAAATGAGAGAAGGGCCAGGGAGGCCCAGCTTTCTAGCCTTCCCTGACAAGGGCATGTAGAGAAGCCATCTTGGACCCTCCAGATGAGCCCAGTCATCACCTGAATATCCCCAGGCAGCTCTGGTGGTGCCTCATGGGACAGAAATGTCCAGTTGAGCTCTGTCTGATTTCCTGACATAGAATTGTGAGATAAAGTGGTGGTTGCTTTAAGTCACTAAGTTTTAGAGTTGTTACACAGCCAGCTGAAACACTTGGAATTACTGTGCTTGTGGCTTTACTTTTTATTTTTGCCAGTTTGATGCACTTAAAGAAAACCAGGGAGCATATGATTTTATTGCATTAATGACTATAAAAGTATGCTAGTCTAAAAAATATAAAATAATTTAAACCTTATTTTTTTCTAGTTGACTTCTCAAAAATGGTGGCATACTCAAGAGCTCCCTTCAGAGTGGTTTCTTAATTTTACCCTCTTTTTTTGATTTATCCATCAGAATCATCACTTTTCTAAGTGATTTCTGGTAAGGTTGCAAAATTGGATAAGCTGTGACGCATTCAAACTTTCACCTTCTCTTTTTCCACTTGAGATTTTAGGAAAGATGGAATGGGGCTGGAACACTTCTGAGCATATCTTTGCTCTGTGAGTTCTCCCTCAGATCATTCGGTCTTGATGTCCTTTCATCTGTTCCTTTGTCCATATCACCTTGTGCTTATTGGTTTCAGTTTTGTGTGTTTTCTGGATAGTTTCATGCTTTCTATCCTTTTCCAGTGTTAGTATTTTAGGGGAAAGTATTTCACTGGGAATTCTTTGAGGGAACAGTCAGTATTTGTGGTCCCTGAGGCCTCTGGCTCGTTCAGCCTGGTATGTGTGTTTCTTTATGTGACTCAGTTTCCTCTCAGGCACTAGAGAGTCCCATTTTTTAGCATCTTCTGTTTTCTCACT